GATTGCAAGATGCTTGAGTGTCCACAAAGGATGGCCACAAAAATGGTCAGGGGGTTGAATCGGTTTTCATACGTAGAGAGACTGAAGTCACTGGGATTATATTCCAATCATTACCGGCGCATCAGAGGAGATATGATTATGGTATATCAAATGATGCAAAAACCAAGCCATCCGTGTCGCCCGCTTCTGAAATTACCACCCAACGTTCATCTTAGAGGACACCCATTTAAACTAGTGGTCTCAAAATGCCGCTTAGAATGCCGGCGTCGGTCATTCGCAGTCAGAGTATGTTCCATCTGGAACTCTCTACCATCCTACGTCGTCTGTGCTCCAAGCATTGAGTCTTTCAAACTGAGGCTCGATGAAACACTAGCACATCTTACGTTCCAACATAAGTGAAGCTGCGTGAAGCAGTGGAAAACGCACGTATCACGTGACAGTTTACAAAAAGAATTGTATGTATCACTGTTTCTTAATCCACCGCACGAACCTATGGGACCAGAAAAGCATGAGCTTGTAAGTTATTCCCATAATAAATCTTTAAATCTTTGAAAAAAATCTTTATACTCTTACTACACAAATGCACCAAGTAAAATGACCAACATTGTGTAAACAATAAAAGTGAGGCACCAATAAAATGTACATCGTGGTTGATGTATCAGTTTTTGTGACTATATGAGATATTTATTGTCAGATACAATTGGGTGTCGTGTTGTTTAGTTTCGATATGAAACTAACTGCTGCAGACAACCCAAGTAGCGTAGTGATGAGTTTGAGCAACTCAACCCCTTCATTCCCGGTTGGAAGGTTCACAGGACCAGTAGAACTGTGGTGTTTCCAATGGGTAATCAAGTGTAAATAGCTTTATACCGCTTTCAACGCCCTTCTTGCATGTGTGTGACATGCTAATATTACTCGAATTGCGGCACATTTCACTTGTCTCTATAATCCTAAATTGAAAATTTGTTGCGAAGTAATTCTGAAGTTTGTTTCACCATAGACAGCATGTAGAGTTCATGGTAGTAGTTTCTAAAGAATTTAAGCA